CCCTGAAGCGTGTGGCTGTTTATGGGCCACTGCGTTGAATTGTATCGATTTGTCAAACCTTGCCCATTTGCAGCAGAGTCCCTTGCGCACCTTCACTTATACAACCCGCTGGTGTCATAGGAGCCAGAAAAACATATGCAGCGGTTTCGTAACTCCTGAGTCAACAGAGGCAGGTAAGAGCTGCCTATACCTAAGCCTAAAATCATGGAACATCAAATGAAATTGACCTCATGTTAGAGGAAGCACAGCATACTCCCTTTATGACTCGAGACACTAGCAGCCCTAACTCCCATGCCACTCGCCGGTGGTATAACACAGATCGTCACTACTGTTGCCTTGCACAAGGCTACGCAAACGTTGGTCCTCGAGAGGAAGTTTCTTTTAAATTTCAATGCCTCGGTGAGTCAGTCTATCTATGATTTTCAAAGCTTCCTCACCAAGTCTGAGAGCAGGAATTTTCACCATGCAAACTTAAGACGGCTGAAAGTATGAGGCAATGCCAAGCGGTCAACCGACCAAAGTTGATGCTCAGTGCACCTTGGCGAGCTGCAGTGGCAGCTTGAAGCAACAACACGCAAGCACTCACAATGTCCTTGCAAAGTCGCTGGCTGAAGCCTCGGGGAAGCACGCACAACAATATGGAAAGGTCATGGTTGAGCAGAGATGTTCGGGAAGTTGAGTTGCAAAAAATGTTGGCAGAAGCCCTCGCAAGGCCTTTCTGCCCAAAAGGGCTCCTGCGCAGAAGCCTTCCCGATCATGCCAGTTGCAGAGGCCCGTTCAACTGTTCGCATGCTATGGTGGCTGCGGCTTTCATCGGCATATTCACTGCATCCTTGGCGGAGCCCGCGCATACTTAATTCTCTTTGTTTGCGTGGTGAGCAGATCGCAAGATATGCTTGTTGCAAGAAACTATAGCTCGAGCCGCCACAGAATCTCCAGACTATCAATTTGTATGCACACATGTATTTGCGGAAGTTCAGGCTAGAGTGGTGGAAACTTACCTTGCCGCTGAATTTTCCACAATGCTATGATGCGACGACATGTTTCCAGACGAGGTGCCACTCGCAGAAGCTGACACGCAAATAACAGGGACCGAGTTCTCACACACAGTTTAACACTTGTCATGCCGCTTTTGAGCACTGCTCGGTCATTCTGCAAAGTTTAGGCAAACATTGTCCTCAGAGGCTCTCAACTCCTTGACTCCTCAGGGACCCGCTCAACCTCTGCAAGTTCTGCTCCAATCGCATCGGCCGTCGATAAAGAGCAGTCCCTCGGTTGGTGCTCGTTTTGTCGAAATTAACGCTGCTTGTAGCGCCAACTGCTCCTGGTTGCGGCTAACTCCATCACTATTCGAGCAAATGTGACTCCGCAAGAAGTACATGTGCATTCCAAGGCAACACTCAGCAGATCCAAATCAGGCATGGAGAGAGTTGCTACTGATGGAGACCAAAAATACCAGTGTAGCTGATGGTAGCTATCGCAGCTATGGGCAGACGCCAGAGTACGTGGCAAAGGCTGCGGTTGTGTTGGTGTTGTTGGTGGTGTGCAAGTAATGCCCATGGCGCAAGCTGTATGTCGCAGCTCAATGCAACATGCTGGCTATCGTGTTTCACTGGTGAACGCCATGTTTCACATCTGAGCAATCTGTCAAAGAACATCCTTCAGAAGTTGTAGCTGTCCTACATCCTTCCGTCACGCAGGCTGAAAACTGCACCAGACATATCACATTTTTCGAGTGGGCTGGTTTAGATGCTCTTTGCTCTCGGCATTTGCATCCATCCTTCAATCAGCCCGACAAAGCTTGGTTTCCAAGCCGCAGTGCTCGGCGACTGGAGAAAAATAACACAGAAAGGGGATGAAAGGGGGTGATGAAGTTCGAGTTTGGTAGTTCCTCCTGAAGCCTTGACTCTGAACGAGAGACATGTCAGGGCCACTTTAGACCTGCCCGCAGGCCACAATTCAGGGCAGCTGCAACAGGGAGCGTCAACATCATTTTCCGCAAAGCCAGTACCGATGGTGAAAAGACTTGGGTGCCTGCTTCTGCCGGTTGCCCTGTTAGATTTTTGCTTCCATTGAGTTTGCGTTTTGCTGTGTGACTCCTGATCGTTTGGTACTGGCCCACGGAGCCTGAATCTTGCGAGACTGACCCATCATTCAGATTTCAGGCTGTCAAGTCCTCAGTGGGGAATAGTTGAACACATTTGAGAACGCTTTCGGCTGGTCACACAACAATCGCTTGGGCCGCCCTTTCAGGCCTGGGCAGGGTCAACATTGTTTCGAGAAGGAGTTCTTTGAGGCTTTGAGGCCTCGGGGTTGCTGGTTACCGGCATGTTTGCTGAACCCCTTTGCAGCTTGGGCTTTTGCTTCAACATAACACTCTTGGAATTGCATAGACTGCTCTTGAACTTCGCATGCCTTGGACAAGACAAACCATGGCCCAGATTGAAGCCTGTGGATGGTGTAAGCATGTGTACGTACGTAAGCCTTGCGAGTTGCACTTGTGCTGCAGGTTGTGTGTTGGTCCTGAGCCCGAATACATGCTCGCCGATGAACATCATTGTGCAAGAAGAATCGCATCCGCATAAGAAGTGAACACCAGTTCACGCTCAACGTTCAGCTGTATAGACGGGTGTCCAATTGTATCCTTTGCCCCTTGTCGTGGCTAACTCCATCTCTATTTGAGCAAATGTGACTCCGCAAGAAGTACATTTGCATTCCAAGGCGCCACTGAGCACATCCAAATCAGGCATGGAGAGAGTTGCTGCTGATGGAGGCCATAAATACCAGTGTAGCTGATGGTCGCTATCGCAGCCATGCGCCGGTGCCAACATTCCGGGCAAACGCTGCGGTGGTTGTGGTGGTGCGCGAAGACTGCCTCTGCCGGATGCTACGATCCACATTTTAGTTTTCTGCCACACACCACCCTGCAAAAGTTGTAGCTGCCCTGCATACTGTCCAAGCTGCTAATGAGATAACTGAACAACGTGGTCAAACAACGAGCCGTTTTCCAGGTCCCGATCATATTATCGCATAGCATTGTCAGGCCGTTTGGTTTGTAGCATTCCTGAATTGCTGGGCGTGGAGTCCACCGTAAACGGACAGGTGATTTGCACAGACTCTTGGGAGTGCCAAGTGAGCTGATCCTGGAAATGCACATGTCCATTTTAGCTTCGTCCTGCAGGTTGCAGCGGTTGACCGACTTGACCTTTGTCGTCAAGTCATGGATATTGGAGCGGGGCATGGGTTTGAGGATGGATTGCAAGGTGACAGATGAGCTGAAAGCTGTGTGTCAGAGTCATGCAAAAGGCAGGCTATTGAGATCAGATCTTCAAAGAAGACACTCGTTTTGGCCGTTGAATATTAGCAGGTAGGCATTTGTATTGGTCGGTGTCCAAGTTGGATAAAGCCTCAAGTTTGAGTTCTACTGTGAAGCGTTGTGCTTTCTCGTTTTGCTACCAAACGCTTGGCGAACTCTGATGGATGTCGACGGCCTGGAGGAGAGAAGCCTTGTCGGCAGTGCCATTGGTCCATCAAGGCCAAGGTGTGTCTCTTTAAAGAAATTGCCGTAACCTCTTTGAGCAGCTTCCTTGCACTTGGCCCCTTATTTCTGAACTGAGCTGAAAACCGTTGCTTCAACTGCCGTGGATTATAGCCAAAGTTTTGTTGTCCTAAGCTGGCCGCTGGCCCCTTGCTGAAACAAAGCTGAGTGCAGTTGCCTACTGCAAGCCCATACCCCACAGGTGAATTCTGGGTGGCTTGCTTGCTTCATGTTCCCAGTATTGGATGATGGCAATTGAGTTGCTGAGTAGCCTCAGCGATCATCACCATGCACTTGTTTTTGCTGTAGACTCAGCATCGTGTCATGGATGGCAGAGGGTCGCACGACCTGAGGAAATCTCAGTTTGTTGTGGTGCTCCAGGTCGGCAGCATCGCCGCATTTTGGCGGACTCTGGTTTATCCATAATTATATTTGTTTTTTTCATGTCCTTTAGTTCAGTCTTTGCGGAATAGACACCCTCTTCATAAACATCATGTCTGGACAAGATATGGAAGCTGCAGTCAGCCCGACGCCACTGTTTCCTGTCAGAAATGGGGCAATGGAGCTTGGTTTTGCACACCACGAACGAATGGAGCAAAATACCAGACATTGAGCCATGATGTCTCGCGGGGCGACCACACCTTGGTGCATAGGGTCTGGAACTTTTACGGCATCTTTGGCTTTGGCAGGGTCATTGGCGCTTTGGTTCCATGCTCATGAGATTGGTGCATCGGTGCGGTTGATCTTCCGTTCGTAGCTGAAGATGCACAGCACAGGTGAGTCGCAAGGCACACTTTCACAATCCTAAGCCTTTGACTATTCTCAAGAACTTGGCACACATCAGGCTCCTGCGAGACCATCGGAGAGATAGAATCTGTTCCACTCGGTGGATCGCCTGGCAGCGTCTGGACGCCACATTTGGGGGCGGAAAAAAAGAGCATCATATAGTCATATAGGGTCTAACATGCATATGGCATGACCATAGTCTTGACGATATATGACCCCATTTGGCTCTAGAAGGCTCCGTTGCGAGTGTCTTTCATTTCAATTTCGTGTGCAGCACTGTGAGGGTAAGGCAAGGTTCTTAGAGGGCTGGCGCAGACAACCCCAGTACCAAACTCTGAATCAAAGTGTAGCTTCTCATTGTCTTGATTTGTTACTTGTCTGACTGGTGTGACTCGTAGGGAATGAGGAAATGGACCCTAAGGAATCTCTGTTGGGTGGTCATTCCCTCATTCCCTACTAAGCACCAGTCAGTTGTTGTCTTTTTCCTTTGTGTGTGTGTTGATTGGGTTGATTGGACGCCGCCACTGCTTTTCTTCTTTTTGGCGTGACTTGAGCCAATTCAATCGAGTGAAACGAGACGAGACGTTTGAACATAGTGTGACCTTTGGCTCTGATCCCCAATTCAATGATGGTTCAAATCAACACAAGTCCTTTTGATCCTCTTGGACAACATTCATAAGACCTTGGTTGAACAAATGCATGGTGGATCTGTCTACGCTGCCATGTTGAGCCCAAGGGATTGGGCAAGTGGGGTGAGAGAATGTCTGAGAAAGTCTCACCATGACACCCCCGGAACTGTGTGCTGGCCTCACTAGATTCACTAGACACACGCAGAGGCGCTGGCCATTTGACAAAGCGAAACTGGAAGTGTCGGCCTTATAGCAGCCATCCTACCAAAGTATTTGCAGACGAACCTTGAGCACATTGGCTTTAGCGGCTAAGATTGCGAGATGTTCGAGAAACGTTCATCAAAAGCCGGCAATGCTATGCCCGTTGTGGAAGTGCGGCTGTGATGCCTAAGCAGGTGCCACGTCAGTTTTTTGCCCTCCCCACAGTAATATACATGTTGCACAGGAACAATCCAACGTGGAAGGTGCGCAGCCCACGGTGGAACATGAGCGGCAGTTGTTTGGGCCGGTCCAGATGCCGAGGCCGCTTGCTCCTCAAAGAGGCCATTGAATTGATCCCGAGCGGACGGTGGGAGGCGTGTTCCAGCGGAAAGTGCGAAAAGTGAAACGTGTTTGAGGGCTTTCATGCCAAGGAGCTGACCAGCTTATTGCAGAGTCGGCCCCAAAGAACGAACATAGACCCCCGAGCCGGCGTCCACATCGGGCTGTTCCAAGGTCATGCCCCGCAGCTGCAGGCCGCCAGGCTGAGATTGGAGCAGCAGGCGGGTCAAATCACGTCAGCTGAGAGGAATCTGTCAGACCAGATCCCAAGCCATTTGTGGCAGGCTTTGGAATTGCACTCAACACGGGTACCTCTGCGGCAACTGCGGACTGCAAGAAACAAACATCATTGTAGAAGTGTGTCTCCAATCTCTTGTTTGGTTGGCCCATTATTGTAGAATGTGTTTGGATATTGCAGGCACGTTCGCAGAATGACAAGCAGGCACGTGTCAAGATATTACGCTTCAATTGTGTGTGTGTGTGTGCGTGTAACCATCGAGCAAGCAAGCTATACAGTTGCATAATATGTTGCATAATTTTAGATGTTTTTGGTGGTGACATGTGGTGACCCATTGCAACAATCATGCTTGGCAAGGATGCCAATCCAGTGCGGCAGATGGGAACTCCGATCGCCGCAAAGCATGCAAAGAGATCGAAAGGAGGTCTCAGTTTTGCGCGCCGCGTCACAGCTTTCGGATTGGGATAGGATATGATAGGATATATTATATAGGCTTTATATGGCTTTATCTGTGAGCAGTTTTGATGGATTTCGGAAGCCTAGCTGGGGTGGCCTGACAGGAATTGGGGCACCTAGGTTGGAGGCCATTGCTTGTAGACTTGTAGGTGTTCTTTCTTTTTGTTTAACTTCTTTGGGGAATCCGATGAACCTCCTCGCCACAAGGTCCGAACAGTGGCTGCAGCCGCTGCGTGGGCAGACAGGTTCGGCGTGCACGGAGGAGTCGACCCCATGTGGACGTGAGACGGCGTGCGAGACGGCGTGAAGCTGAGAAAGTCAGCACAGGGGATCATAGAAGGAGTTTTTGGAGGCTCATGACATCATAATTCATATGTTATATGATGTCTACAATGTCTACAAAAATGAACAAAACTCTTTATTGAACCGGACGCTAGCGATCTTCCCTGCAGCTGTGAACCTCAGGCTGACCACTTGATTTGAACAGGTTCTCCAGCCATGGCAGTGGAACTCAGGCTGACCACCTCTAAGCCAGCTTCCTTTTACTTGCGTGCGGCGAGGCTGGGCTGCTGGTTTTTGATTTTCATTATTTTTGCACGTCCTTTCCCCAGTGCTCGCATGTTTGCCCTGATATCGTTTTGCATCATCAGCACATCGAAGATTGTCTACTGTCAGTTTCCCTAAACAATTTGGAACTATATAAATCATTAGTGCGAGCGCTTCTTCAAGGAAGCTACCCTGCCTAAGCATGAGCTATCCAGTGTCCAGTATGTAGTAGCTCAAGCAGCTAGTAGCTTACTCCCTTACTTAAGTAAGTAGGCGCCTACAGGCGGGGCCTCGGGCTAAGAAAAACTGTGCGAGCCTTGCATCCAGCAGAAATGACTCACGACATCTCACGAGACTCTTTTCTCTTCTCTCTCTCTCTCTCTCTTCCCTCTCTCTCTCTCTCTCTCTCCGCAGCGGGGATTCGGGGTGAAAGACCCTGACAGAGAAAAAACACAAAACCAAGAGGGTCATGCTGATCGGTTGAGAGCCGAAAGAGTTGAACACGAACACGGGAATACCGAAAGAGTGGACCGGCTCAATGCGACACACGAATCATGCAAATCACCCGTTTTCTTGTGGTGTCGCTAGCTGCTAGCTCGTGGAGCACGCGAGGGATCGGGCACTGCAGTGTAGCTTCTAGCTGCGTGGCTGCTCCCTTAAAGCCTCACAAACTCCTGCCTAATTGTGCAGGTAATGTACAGGTAGAGGTATGGTCCATCATGCTCCTTTACCTTGTTTTCCTTTTCAACAGCTAGGTCCTTCTTGGAGGGCGTCCCAGCCAAAGACGACAAGCCAGCAAAGCCGCCCTTGGATACTGTGACCCTGACCGCCCTGGGCAACGCCATTAGCGTGGCATGCTTCATTGGGGGCACGTTGGAAAAGGAACGCCTTGCAACCATTGCAGCTGTTTGGGGCTGAGATCCAAAAACGATATTTTTCTTGAAGCTTCATGTGTCAGACATTTGCCCTGCAGCTTTTCGTTAATCAGGTGCGCACCAAATGGACTCCAGTGGCGGGCCCCATGAAGCACACGCCGAATGTCACTGTGGTACTGAAGAGGCTGGGGATGCGTGGAGTTGGACCATCAGCCATCCAAACAGACAGGTCTGCACATGGACGCTAGCTGAGTTTGTTCTTGCTATGGCCAGGGGGGCCAACACAGTGACTTCTTGCAGCCGATGATATGGCCCTAAATATACCTAAATAGCATTCTTTGACCCGCGCTGGCCTCAAGTCAGTCAAAGCAAACTATATAAGTATATTGGACCATATTGGACCTTTCTTCCCTTTCTTTTGACTTTGTTTCTAACAGCAATGGCCTCCAACCTAAGATCGATGGCCTCAAACTCAAACCCACTTCCGAATGAAGACATCACAATCCGCCAGGAAGGAGGCTGAGAAACTTATGTCGGGTTCTTTGGCCGTGACGAACGAGAGCACCGATCCAATCGCTGGGCAGAAGCCGGGCACCTCTGGGCTGAGGAAGAAGACCAAGGCCCGTTGAGACACAGGTCATGCAGACTGTTGATTAATGAACCTGTCCCAGGACTCGAGATGCAAAAGGATGTAAAGCTAGCAGCTACTCCGGGGACGGTTAGGTTTTGATCAAGCAACAGTCGACATCAATCAACTTTCCTATTTGAGGCAGAGAGTGGAGCTTCATGAAATGATGCCTCAGAATGGACTGGAGTAAAGGGTTGCCTAGTAGATGGGTAGGTGACGCAATGACAGGACAACATTCAAACAAATAGATTTCTGTGTACATTTCTTTGTGACCTTGTGGCTCTTGGGGCTCCATGCAGGAGTTCATGGGCAAGAATTATTTGGAGAACTTTGTCCAAAGCACTTTCGATGCACTCAAAGCAACTAATGTGCCCGTGGAGGGTGGCACCCTGGTGGTGGGCGGAGATGGCCGTTACTACAACAAGGCCAGAGCAAATCAATCACCTTGTTTGGGCAAGTGCCCTTTGGCTTCCTGTGCTCTTGACCAGGATGCCATCCAAATCATTACCAAAATGGCAGTGGCGAACGGGGTGAAGACAATTTGGATTGGCAAGGACCAGTTTCGGCCATCAGTAACAGGGTGCGAATTTTTATTTTCCTTGATTTGACTTGTGCTGATTATGTGGTCATGCTACCCGGAGCATCGCATGGCTGTTGATGGAGTTGAGTCGTTGGGGCTGGTTTGCTTTCTTTGCAGTTCTGTTTGTTCTATCTTGGCTTCTTCTCAGGACGGATTGCTGAGCACACCGGCTGCCAGTGCTGTCATTCGCACCCGCGAGGGTGGCTTCGTGCCATTCGGAGCCTTCATTTTGTCTGCCTCTCACAATCCGGGCATCTCGGCCGCTCTTTCAGGTCCACCACCTCCGAAATCCACCGCGTCCACCGGTCCACCGGTCAGAGCAATTGAGCTTGTTTGTTGGCCTGTTGTGAATTTGTGGGCAGAATATGCGATAGTGCACCTATATAGTAGTTAAAGTTAGTAGTTGCACCTTTAGGATTAAGCCGTCGCAGTTCGTGCGCAAGGTGGCCTTGATGAGGATTTTGGCATCAAGTTCAATTGCGAGAATGGAGGACCTGCCCCGGAGAAGGTGACAAACATGATCTTTGAGAACACCAAGACTATCAAGGAGTACAAGATTTGCAAAGGTTTCCCAACTATGGACATCGGCACATCAGGCACTTACGTGGTGGACGGAAAGATCCGCGTAGATGTCTTTGACTGTGCCGAAGATCATGTTGGACTGCTGATGAAGGTGTTCGACTTTGACTCCATCAAGAAGCTTATCGCAAGAAAAGACTTCAGCTCGAGACCTAAAGGGTTGAGAAGAGGGTTTTGTTGTGAAAGACATGATGGGTTTGTTCTGCAAAGAGATGCAGTTTTATGTTTCATGTATTGCAGGCTTTCAGCCTTGAGGGCAAAGCTAGAGAAAATGAAAGATAAGGCATGGTCTACGACTCTATGAATGGTGTGCAGGGTCCGTATGCGCGCCGTGTTTTTGTCGAGGAGCTGGGTGCACCCGAGTTCCCTGGCAAAGACACAGCAGAGGGAGTCATAGGGCGGAGTGGGAGTCCTTCCTTCGCCCTTCCAAGGTCGGTGCTGATGAATGCCGTGCCCAAGGAAGACTTTGGAGGAAAGAACTCCCCATCTCACGGGCATGCGGATCCCAACCTGACCTATGCTGTGGAGTTGGTGCAAAAGATGGGAACCAATAAGACAGGCGCAGACCAAAGAGTTTTGAAGAAGAGGACTAATGAGAACCCTGTTGTGTATATATATATATATACATATATCTGTGTGTGTGTTGCTTGAAGGGGCACCTGTAGGAGCTACTCGTACAGAGACCTACAGGTTCTCTCAAAGCAATCATTTTGACCGAACCCTTTAGAACGTTTTAGCAATTTGAGTGCAATGTAAATATAGCCTTTGAAATCAGACCTGCTTGTTTTGTGCACAGATAATTCCACACCGGCGGTAGGCGAGAAAGTGGGCAGCGGTGAGGGAGTGCCTGATTTTGGTGCGGCAGCTGATGGTGATGCGGACAGGAACATGATTCTGGGGAAGCAGTGGTTTGTGAGCCCTTCCGACAGCCTTGCCATCATTGCAGCTAACATCAGCTGCATCCCATTCTTCAAGGAGGGCTTGAAGGGATGCGCACGTTCGATGCCAACATCAGGTGCAATGCGACCCAAACCTCCCGCTTTGAAGAGGGATCGTTTCGTAGAGGAATTCTCGATCAAAGCATCTTTGTTGGAGAAGGGACTGTAACAAGAATTCCCTTTATTTCCCAGGCCTGAACGAGTCAGGTTTTGATACCAGGAACTGACCAGCTTAGGTGCTCTGGACTTGGTGGCCAAGAAGAAGAAGATCCCATGCTTTGTCACCCCAACGGGCTGGAAGTTCTTTGGCAACTTGATGGACTCTGGGGATGAGAAGCTTGGCTTCACTTCAGAACATTTACACGGGCCTGGCGCTTGATTCAATAAACAAGCCTTGATAATTCATTATATACATATGCCACGATCCACACGTACTCATGTCTTGGGGTTAGCTCCCGTACAAGATTGAATTTTCAGAGATTGCTTAGCAACTTTGTCACACCAGGGTCAGCCACCTGTTGTTAATGCATTTTCTGCCAGCCTTGTGCACGTTGGTGCATTATCCAGGAACTCCCAGATGCCATTTGTTTGGTAGATGACGTTGAAGATACACATTCAATGCTGTTCTCTCTTCCCTAGTTTGGGCCCCACCAGCCATTTGGCTGAGGAAGTACTTCCCAGAGACGGAGAACTACACTCCTTTCCTGTGTGGAGAAGAGAGTTTCGGAACTGGTGCCAACCACGTTCGGGAGAAGGATGGTATGTGGGCAGTGCTTGCCTGGCTGCAAATCCTGGCAAGCAAGAACCCAGATGAGTCGAAGCCGTTGGTCACAGTGGAACAGATCACCAAGGACTCAACCTTCTCAGAAATGCTTGCCACACTTGAGCATTGCGGGGAGGTCTTAGTGTAAAGATTGGTATTGCGCTCAGGCTTACAATGTTCCACAAAGCTCTCAGACATCAATGCACATGCTAGTTTGACGATGATATGGGCAGCAGTGGAACAGGAAATGTAGGGAACATGAACCATCAGATCTCGACCCTTGGAATGTACGTATGACGGTGGTTTCTGCATGTTTCTGCTGATTTCACGACTTTG